CAAACATAGGATGAAAGGAGCCAGAAAATCACAGCAGACTTTAAAGTTGTCTTGAAATATTTCTAGCAGAATATGTAACTTCTTATAAATCTATGTAAAGTTATTCACACACCTGCACTAGACAGACTATCAATAGTCACTACAGTGAGCCACTATTGATAGAAGCATCTGATTCAATCATTCAACAACTAACCTAACACTACAGTGAGCCACTATTGATAGAAGCATCTGATTCAATCATGCAACAGCTAACCTAACACTACAGTGAGCCTTAGGTTAGCTGTTGCATGATTGAATCAGATGCTTCTATCAATAGTGGCTCACTGTAGTGTTAGGTTAGCTGTTGAATGATTGACTCAGATGCTATCTATCAATAGTGGCTCACTGTAGTGTTAGGTTAGCTGTTGAATGATTGAATCAGATGCTATCTATCGATAGTGGTTCATTGTAGTGTTAGGTTAGCTATTGCATGACTGAATCAGATGCTTCTATCAATAGTAGCTTACTGTAGTGTTAGGTTAGCTGTTGCATGATTGAATCAGATGCTATCTATCAATAGTGGCTCACTGTAGTGTTAGGTTAGCTGTTGAATGATTGAATCAGATGCTATCTATCAATAGTGGTTCACTGTAATGTTAGGTTAGCTGTTGAATGATTGAATCAGATGCTATCTATCAATAGTGGTTCACTGTAGTGTTAGGTTAGCTGTTGCATGATTGAATCAGATGCTTCTATCAATAGTGGCTCACTGTAGTGTTAAGTTAGCTGTTGCATGATTGAATCAGATGCTTTCTGCCACAATTGCATGTCTGGTCAGTGTACAGCTGTTTAGAAACACACTTTAGAGTACTGTTCTTTCAACAAGTCACAAAACATCTCATATGTAATGATATTAGGAACATGCCCAGGAGGTCAAACACATCTGGAGCAGTATTATTTTTACAGATGAATCATACATCACCATGGCCAGATAAGAGATACATATTCAACTGGAGTGGCCACACATTAACCAGACTGGGCATGTGTGGATCTTATCAAGTCATTCTAGATGCTAAAGATGCACTAAAGAGGGATAGTTAGTGATACGTCAGGACATTATCAGACTAGATGCTAAAGATGCTTTACATATAGTTATTATCAACAGTGATTTTAAGAATGTTTTTTCAGTGCCAGACTACTTTACCATTCCTCCATATTGAAATGAAATGCCATGAACTATAAAGACCTAAAGCTTCCCGTACTAAAACTTCATTTATGATTGTAGGTTAAATTTCACATGACTTGAAAGTTTACCTGATGTCTTATTTGGATAGTTGGCATTATTTTAAAACAATAGTTTTGCCTTTCATAACTAAAACAGTGTATATTCCAATTATTCTGTTAATGTTTTTATTAGTATTTTTTTCACTAATTCCTAGAGTCTGATGAAATAACTGTTTTTTTGCTAAAAGCCTACAAAAGTATCATCTATATATCTTTTGTTATAGGTGGATTTAGTGTAGTAACCAATGATTTTCACCTAAATGTAGAAAATCATTTTCTAAAATGAAGACCATGGATGTAGATCCACTGCCACATCATCAGTCTAATCAGGTTTTGTGAGACATTGATCCATTCCCTGTGAACTTAAGTACTGAATAACTCCACCTCACCATGTATTGTCACAGAGGAAACACCAATATTGAAACTAATACATTAAACAGTATTTTTTAAGTTGACGTAAAGAATAAAAACAATTATTTTAAAAAATTGTTTACAAAATCTTTTCAAATGCAAAGCTAGTTTCTAATAAAAAGTTTAAGATTTGTGGTGTAGGCTATCCATATGCCATAACAGTTGAAATTTTAATCTTTACAACTCATCAGTGCATGATCTTTCCATTACTTTAAAAAATTACAGTATTTTTATTTTCAAACAGAATGACACTATCCACACATGGCCATATGGCCAGGTCACAGAAGACTATGGTTTAGGAATAGTCATCCATAATTATGAACTACTGACCAGAAAGAAGGCAGCCGGTCAGCAGCACCATTAAGTTATGGTATTGACCATCACTTTTAGTAGGCACCCACAGTTGAAAATGTCATCTCCCAATCTATAGCCTGACATGATAACCATTAGGCTATGCCCAGACCTGAAAAAATTAACACTTCTCAGTTGAACCAGTGTACTTTACATAAACTCGTGCTTTTATTACTGTTACTTTCTTTAGAACATCTGATATGTTGAAGGAAGTATAACAATTACTTGTCTCGAAAAATAGTTGAGACCAGTCTTGAGATCTCAAGTTAGGTTAAAGAACTTTTATAAAATGAAAGGCCATGTACCATTGGTTTAGTTTCACTTAAGGTGTGGTTTTAACCTATTTAAAGAAGTGACAATAAATAGATTTCACAGCTGGTAAAACCCTTTCCTTTAAAAAAGTTAATGTATGCTCTTTATTTGGCTGTCAGTTATTTGTTGTTAATAATATATTATTCTCTAACACTTATCTTATTGTTACTGTGATACAAACTAAGTAGATTGAGTTTTAAATTGTTTCAAGGAAAAAAATGCTATATTATTAAAAACATTAGTATTTTACTCTTAATGTAATTTAATATTTTAAAGTTTTTATGTGTATATTTTATAAAGGTAAATAGTATTTACCATCATTACTCCACAGACAACAAGAAGGCTGAGCTAGAGTCTTCTCAGAAAGAAGATCAACAGTTTTATCTTTCCTGTGAAAACCTCAAAACATGGCTGGACAAGATGCAGGACACTTTGTCCAAAACTTTTCACATTTCTTCAGACCATCAGACCTTAATGAAACAAGTGAAGGACTTTGAGGTGATTCTTGGAATAGTAAAAAAAGCCTTTTATTTCATTATCAAAGAATGTTTTGATCTAACTTTATAGAAAGATCTGTCCCTGAATGGAACTTTAAAAAAAAAAGTATTTTCTCACTACAAAGGGACTTAATAAATATCAACATTAAAGCTAAGTAATTATTCAATACTATTATAGTTAAATTTTGCTGGAAGAGAAGTTAGGATTTAACTACTTATGTTTTATTTAAAGTTACCTGATACAGGAAGGACAAGTTTTTTAAATCAAAGTTTCGTATTTCAGAGAGTATTGAGTATGTGATATTTTCCCCTGAATAGCCACAATACAGAGAAGTCTTGGACAAAGAACATGAAGTCCACATTTTGTTAAATAAGGGAAATGATGTAGTGAACAAAATCAGTCGTAAAACTGAAGCTCTTCAACTGAAGAACAGGCTGGATACCATTAAAATACAGTGGGATACAATTCGTAAAGATGCTACTGAAAGGTATGTTCATTGTACGAAAATTATTTGTTTTTGTCAGGTTCATTAATTAAAAAAAGATGTAGTAAAGACCTTTATATTTACATTTTTTTTTACAGATATTCTGTAGTCAAAGGGTAAAGTATGTTTCGATGTAAAAATAATCTTTAGCAAGAGAATCATGATGTAACTTTCCCTACCGGGTTTATATTTTCAGACAAAACAAATTACAGAGGAGTGCTGACACTAGCTGTCGGTTTCAATCACACTTAACCAACTTCTTACCTTTGCTAGTGCAGAGTGAAAAGAAACTAGCCACACTTCCACCAATCAGCTTTCAAAGGATGGAACTTGAGAAGCAAGTTAAATATATTCAGGTGTGTTTTTCCAGTGTATTATATATAGTCCTGGTAAAGACCATGTGTCTAGCAGACAATTTTTGTTTACCATAAAGAAATGGCTATGAGGTTTTGTAAAAACTTGTCTTTTCTGGTGATTTTATTAATTACATTTAATCTAATGGACTGTTTTAAGAAGTAATAAAAACAGAAATAATATTTACAAATTGTAAGTAACAAATGTAAAAGTCATAAAACTGTTGCAGTCATTCAAGAATGAGATGTCATGCCATGGCCAGGAGTTTGATAACATTTGTAACACTGGCGATGTGTTGCTAAGTCAAACTGATGTACAACAACAAGATGTTCAGCACAAACTAAAAGAACTAAAACAGAAGTGGGATATTGTCAATCAAGGTATTACTATTTTTCATTTAGCTATTATTCTAAATAATGTTATCCTACTCATAATCCTGGTCAAGAAATGTGCTTTGGGAGATGCACAAAATTTTACAACTGTTGTTACTTTTAAAATGATGTGGACAACATTTTATTTTTCAGCACATTTTTCAAATTAAGAATGTTAAGAATCACACACAAAAATATGTATACACAAATACCATCAGTTTTGTAGCTGGTTTCATTAACTGTTGCAGTTCCTAGCTGGTAAAAACATATTTAAACCCTACTAGTAATGGACAGTAAGTTTATGTGTTAACATAAGTAGTATCTACTGAAGTTACTTACATTAAATCAAATCATATTTGCTGTTGTTTGTTAAGTACATCTCTGAATAATTAGACCTAATACAACAGTAGTGTTTTAAAATCCAATGAATAATTACACCTAATACAACAGTAGTGTTTTAAAATCCAATGAATAATTGCATCTAATACAACAGTAGTGTTTTAAAATCCAATGAATAATTACACCTAATACAACAGTAGTGTTTTAAAATCCAATGAATAATTACATCCTAATACAACAGTAGTGTTTTAAAATCCAATGAATAATTACACCTAATACAACAGTAGTGTTTTAAAATCCAATGAATAATTACACCTAATACAACAGTAGTGTTTTAAAATCCAATGAATAATT